CCCCCCCCCCCCCCCCCCCCCCGCCTCCCCGCTCGCACCCTCTTCGATCGGCGTCATCCTCCTGTGAAGGTGATCAGACTAGTCGACAGCATCTTCAAGCGGGAAGGGCTCAGCTTGAGGTTGAGACCGTACTCTATCTTGTGCTGCGGGGAAATGAAGGGGCTGGTGGAGTGCGTTACGGACGCCAAGAGCATCGACCACATCAAGAAGCTCACAGCGAAGAGCGGGGGGATACGGGTGAGGAGATAGAGTAGGCACGAACACTTACCATACACGACAGACTGCGGTTTCGACGCACATTGCTGTTGCTTTCATTGTTTATCGTCCCGGTCTCTGCTCAGTACCTTGAAACATCCAATTCCACGGTCACAAGCCTACTGCCCGAACATTGTGCACGTATCGCATGCCGCAGTGTGACCGCTGTCCCGTCATTCCTTTGGGAATTACCAAGGCCAAGGGAGAATGAACGCTTGCGTGTTTTTTTTGTGGTTGTTCTACCGCTACTGAAATGGAAAAAAAAAACTCTAGTGTTCACCGTACCTTCCTCCTGTGTTACCCCCGGCTGATGCGTCAAGCATACACCGAAAGATGCAGCCTGGCGCCTAGAATATACGGGACCAGAAAAAACAAGAGCACCATACACACTCATCACCGGATGCGTTCGCTGTCCTGTACTTGTTACGCCTCGGGTCTGACTGGTCGTACCCAGACGTTCTTCGAGCGCATGTACATGGGCAAGACGTCGGGGCTCTACGGGAGAGCTGTCGACAATTTCGTCAGAAGTCTAGCCGGTTACGCGATCGTTACCTACATGCTGCAGGTACAGCACGATGTAAAGGTGCTCGGACGGTTCTTGCCTTTGTTCGTTATACGCCGATAGATTGTGTCACTCTCTCGGACACTACCTTTTTTTTCTATTTTTTGCGAGGGAATTTCACCCAAATGCAGTTTGAATTTTTGGTAATTAGTACGGTCGCCGCATAGACGTTATGTTGGCGAACGGGAATGGCTATGATCGACGGAGAGCTTCGATTTAACTGCGAGTGTGACGAGAGAGCAAGGGCTGCCGTGATTCGAGAACCGGGCCTGCAGCGATGATGCCAGTGTAAACCGAAATCCGGAACGCGTTTTGCTTGCCTTGCTTTTTTCAGGTGAAGGATAGACACAACGCCAACATCATGCTGGACACCAGGGGGCACATTATCCACATCGATTTCGGCTATATCCTTGGTTCTTCTCCAGGTGACCCTAACGGCCAGAGGACAATGACCTTACGTAAAGTTGTGTGTGTACTCATTCGGAGGATACGTGTATCTCGGTGTCAGATACCTGCTTCCCTTTTTCGTTTTTTAATCGAAAGAATCGCTTTGCGAGGCACGGAAATGCCGTTTTGTTTGCCAGAGGTGTGAGCGACAGTCGGACCCATGATGGGGAAGATACTTGTTTATGTTGAACGGTTACTGGGTTCGTCCGAGTGTGGTACGGCATTGCTGTTGTTCTAAGGTGCCGATTTTCTCGGAGCAAACCCCAGCCTTAATTTCTGACGCACACTGTAACGAAGGCGCCATGACGTACCATGAGAACGTGGAGAGTAAGGCGTAAATGTGACGGAGCAGGAAAGTTCGGGGTGATGGCGTATCACGTCGGTGGCTGTGCTTTCCCCAAGTAGTTTTTTATCCTGATGTTGAACAACAACTATTGGGGGAGATTTTTTTTTTTCAACATCAGCAGATTTCGAGCCACGTTATGGGGCCTCAGAACACCAACTAAAATCATTGATGCTGCAGTACTCGTTCGGCAGTGATTCGTTTGGACTATGCATACTTGTAGTTGACAACAACGTGTTCCACGCTGCTCGCAGGGTGGTGGAACCACGAGTCGGCTCCGTTCAAGTTCACGCAAGACTACATGGAGATCATGGGAGGACCTGGAAGTGACAAGTATGAGAGGTGAGAAGTGACACTCGCGTGTCCTATGTATAGTCTGCGGTGTGCCTAATGTGTTTGCAGTTTTATGATGGTCTCACGGTCTCAAGTTAATATCTGTGTTGCCTTTTGTTCTGCTCGCTGTGCTTCTTTGTCTAACGCCGTATATCCGTCTCTCCAATGTTGCTTCTGGCACCGTTCCTCGCATCGTTCCGAAGGTTCCGCGAGTTGTTCCTCACGGGGTTCAAGGCGGTGCAGCGGCATATGCGGGAAATCGAGACATTGATTTGGCCGATGTTCCCCTCCTCCGATCACAGAATGACCACTCAGGTGAGTGTACTCTCCACGAGTTTCCCGACATGCAGTGATATAGAGCCTTCTGTTACCCTAAACACAAACGTGAATGAATTATATTGAGATCGTTGGGGTGGTATTATCAAAGCTTGTATTGATCCTGCATGAACAGCCGCTTTTTCATTCATTTTCGTCGAGGATGGTGCTTTTCCTGAAGGGCAAGCAACATGCCACAAGAATCTGTTCCAAGTCATTGTTTGGGTGCCGTCGCTTTTGCCGCCCCCAATCGCGTCCCACCCGGTGGTTACCATCGGGGTTGGGTTTTCGTCGCTTGGCAACGACGTTGTAACACAAGCCGCCGCCCCCGGTGTTTGCCATCGGGGTTGGGTTTTCGTCGCTTGGCAACGACGTTGTAAAACAAGCCAATTCACTTCGTGAACTCGGCAACCAGGTTACCGTTTTTTATTTTACCTCCGGTTGTTTTTTTGGCGGTAACCATAATGGTGGTCGAGTAGATCATGTTGTGCGGGGTGGAGAACCCTCGCTCCGCGCAAGGGGGATGATCGCACCACGTTGTGTTAAAATGGCCAAGCACCCTTGAGGCAGTTACACAGTGCGTACAACTGTCTCTGGAANTTGGGGTTTTCGTCTCTTGGCAACGACGTTGTAAAACAAGCCCCCCCATCGGTGACTGCCATCGGGATTGGGTTTTCGTCGCTTGACAACGACGTTGTAAAACAAGCCCCCCCATCGGTGACTGCCATCGGGATTGGGTTTTCGTCGCTTGACAACGACGTTGTAAAACAAGCCCCCCCATCGGTGACTGCCATCGGGATTGGGTTTTCGTCGCTTGACAACGACGTTGTAAAACAAGCCCCCCCATCGGTGACTGCCATCGGGATTGGGTTTTCGTCGCTTGACAACGACGTTGTAAAACAAGCCCCCCCATCGGTGACTGCCATCGGGATTGGGTTTTCGTCGCTTGACAACGACGTTGTAAAACAAGCCAATTCACTTCGTGAGCTCGGCAACCAGGTTACCGTTTTTTATTTCACCTCTGTTTTTTTTTGCGGTAGCCATAATGGTGGTCGCGTGGATCATGTTGTGCGGGGTCGAGAACCTTCACTCCGCGCAAGGGGGATGATCGCACCACGTTGTGTTAAAATGGTCAAGCACCCTCGAGGCAGTTACACAGTGCTTACAACTGTCTCTGGAAGTGAAAGCACCAGAAAATAAAGTAATTCATACGCAGCTGTCATCCGTATGCAAGGAAGTAAGCACAAGGTGCTGAACACCCTTAGCAGGATGAAGCGCACCCTTCATGCGACTCGCCGAATTTCTCACGGCGCTTCGCGCTTGATGATGTGAGAGCCTGGTCCGGTGAGAACCCGGCGTGCTCCGTCCCGGCTTTGTAGGGATGCGAGGTCAATGGTCTAACGACTACGGCATGCACGACTACGAGTACACCTCCGCCCCCGCTCATGACCTGAACCGTTGCGTCTGTTTGTCCCCTTCTCTCCGGAGCAGCAAATACTGTTCCGAAAACGGTTCATGGACTTCCAGACGGACGACGAGATCATGCGTCTGGTGGATGATTCCGTCAGGTCGTGGACCACCGGGCAGTACGACGACTTCCAGCAGAAAACCAATGGATACCTCAAGTAGACCGGGCGGCTAACCCGCTGGAGGGGGGAGGCAACGGCTCTCTTGGCCAACGGCAACGGCTCTCCTGTTCAAGTATCAAAGGATCAACGAACAGTCATGGTAGCTGCAGGTACGGGGGAAGTCAGCGGTTACGTTTTTTGTGGGGTCCACATGGGGTGCACGCGAACCATGTTGTGATTTCACCCAGCATGGGAAGTAGTTCATTCTTGGCATTAGAGCCGAACCTTTGTAGTTCTATAAACCTTGGTCTTTGTTCGCTGGGAATAAATCGGCCCATTGGTTCGTTTTGATCGTCGAGGTAGTTCGCCAAGTTGGTTCCGAGTCCGGTACTACAGACTGTTCGGAGTTTACAAGTACCATGGTATGTGGGTTGGGTTGTGACGGGTGGGCTATGAAGGGCCCTCGATTGCCAAGCCGGAAGCCTCGTTCATTGCGTTGCAGGTATGTACTGTACAGATAGATGATCGACGATCTCCCTCCCGACATGCTGAGAGTGCCGTTGTTCGTGGCTACCCTCTCTTGACTTTGTGCAAGTTTCATCGAGCATCATCGTCCAACCGTGGGCAGCTTGGGAATGCAATGTCGTGGGGATGTGTGTCTTTGTAAGGAAAGGAGGATACGGCCGGAGGTTGTTCCGGCCCTGCTGTGTTTGAGTGCTTTCAAGCCCGGCATGAAGCGAATCAATCTGTGCCACGAGTCGACACAACAACACCACACTTGAGGTGGACTGCCTGTTCGGGTTAGTGTACGCCTGCTTCATTCACGGGAATCGCGTTCGCGAAGAAGGCGGGTCAAGTTGAGGGGGCCAAGCGGTAGCCAAGGTTATGACCTTTCCACAGATTTTCACGATGATCTTGATTTAGCGCAAGCAGAAGTTACGGTGATCAGCCCCGGATGCGGACATGATATATGTATGAATGCTTTCGTCCCTTGTAACGTGCTGCGCCAGGACCATCGACCATTTTGGTCCTACAACAATACTGAACCCCCTCCTCGTGAGACGGTTTTTCTGTCAGGTGTTATCTTTGTATTTGTTGTTCTTCTGCCGCTGCGCAAGGGAGAGCAACATGGTGCACCATGACAATTGGTCATGATTAAAACAGAGTGTCATAGAGTTGAGACGAAATCGCTAAGCTTCGCGAAGAAACTGCGTACATGGCAGAGGAAAGCCTCAATTAAAGGCAATCCGTATTTTCCGAAGCCGGGAGGAGGAGCAGGCCATCGCTGGGTTTTGTTTTCGCCGACACCAGGCCAATCCCACTTGATGCTTAGACTCGAAATCTCAGATCTCCCTGCTGTATACCTTCCATTGGACCGCCGGAGTCTGGAAGGGGTTGCGCCCAAGAAGCAGTATCTCTACTTTATTTGCCTCAAGTACATGATATCAAGTGACTCCGTTTTCGCAGACCGACGCTGATTTCCGACTGGCACTTTTTACGAACAAAACAAGATACACGTCGTGACACACAAAGACTCAGACGACGGCTGTTCCGTGACTTGATTAGCAAAATATACTCTTCACGCCGGGATCTCTTTCTTATGTTTTCATCAACGAGTAAAAAAGACGGTCAAATCAGCGGGTCAATCGTCGTCTTCCGTTTGGTTGATGCCGCAAAAAGAAAAAGAATGATCTTCGTTGCGAACCACCCTCCACAATTTCCCACTCCTCCCACCTTCCTCACTCAGCAAGCTCCATCCAGGTCACCGTATCCACCCGGTCGCCCCGGTGGTCTAGTGGAGTCCTCGTAATCCGCTAGTCGCAGAGGTCGTGAGTTCGAATCCCCATGGGGTGAAAAGTTTACGAAATTTGCGGGAGAAAGCGAAATATAGCTAGAAAGCTCTTGTGTGTACCAAACGTCGACGTTAACATCGTTGACGAGGGAAAGGGATGGCTGGACCCTTCTCGCGATAAAAACAAATGTCGAGCCTGTTACCCACAGGGGAGTTATCGTTGTATGCTGTCTGGGAAACCGTAGACATACAGGTAGCCTTTCGTTCACGCTATGGATTCATTGCCAATCTATCTTAGACGTATTTCTATAGATAGAGATGGATTTGTTGTGTGATACTAAGAACAAAAAAAATCAGCACGTCAGCACGTACCGCAGGAGGAAGGTGGGGCATGAAAATAACTAAAAATAAAAAAGCCCAGGTGTTTACTCCCTCCTGTGTGACCCTGGATGGTTGTAGTTGTACGAAAAAATACACTGAAAAATGTAGTACTCTATCTAGTCTACATACGCTAAAAAGTGTTATACAGTTGGCGCCCGCAGTTAAGAAACGCTTATATCAGGTCCAGCCTCGAATTTTTATTGTGGGCTATAAACTCAGCGCATGTCGTTCAGCCAAATCCTGCTGAATTTCTTAAATCGGAAATTTCATATTATTTCTCTGCTTGCATACTACACAACGTTCCAAATATATATACAAATGATTTGCACTGCTTTCCTCGACCCCCGTACTCAACCCCGATTCTCACTACCGACGGCTGCACGTAAGGCCACTCCCTAGAAGCGAAATGTATCCAGCGGCAACGTCTCGCTATCGCTACAAGGTCCTGTATCCCCCTCATGAGTGAGGAGGGCTGAAACTAAACAAATGCATGAACACCGCATGGTGCCTCACCCGCACGCTGACGTGCCCAACAACGAAAACTACCCCGTCATTATGATGCAAGCTCCGTAAGGCGAACATCGGGGGTAGTCTCCCTTTTGCGCCCCCCGCTCCCTTCCTATCTTTTTGAGGCATTTCTTATTGTGTGACCCAGATTAAGCTATGTTTCTTAACCCTATTTTCATATATTTTTTCGTGAAAAAGTGAGCCTCAATTTCTTAACAAAATATTTCTTAACTGCGGGCGCCAACTGTACGTCTCACCACGAAAAATGGGGGGATTGTCGCCATAATAAATAGGACGAAAACATATCCACGACCGCGCCCGCCTCACCGCCATGCGGAGCGCACACGATAGGCACCTCTCACGGGCCTACTGGTTATTGCTGTTGTGCTTTTGCCGTGCCACTCTCGCTCTTCGCGCCGCGCTTCGTTGGTCGAAGACCAGAGCCCAAGACCCCTATTGTTTCGCCTCTCCCGACCTACCCACCGCCAAAAAACTCCAATTTTGACACCTCGACCTAGCAGATCGAGCATTGCCCAAGATCCAACCGAACACCAATCAGTCAATGAATGGTCCTCTCTCTCTAGTGAGAGAGAGCCTACTCCTACCCGCGGTGTGGGGTTGGAGATGCAGGCCTCTTCAGAGCATCTGCTATTCTTTTCCCAAAGGGGAGGTGCCACGGATGGCGGCGAGTCAATTCAGGTGGGAAAAAGGATATGGACATGAACATACAACATAGTAGGAGCTTTTTGTTTCTCCTCGATCCCTCCTCTCAGACCTCTCAGAGCTCTCTTGATTCTCGCCCTCCATTTGCCCCAGCGTTGAGGGCATGGCAGCGAAGATAGAAAGAGGTGCATCACCGCCCCCCGGGCTGTCGGCATTTTTGTTCTTGTGCGGGAGGAGGGTGGACAGGGCAGCACAACAACAGCGTTTAACCGCTCTACCTACAGGAACTGGAAAATAGAGAGCAAGCGAAGCGAGCCGCTTTTTCATCGGCACAACTGCTGCTGCTTCTCGAAGAATGGTCTACTGCTAGACTTTGGACCGTCGATGATGTTCGCGGGCGTAAATCTGGTGGGTAACCTCGCAGCCTGCTAAGGGTCAGGTCATGGGTTCGAGTCCCGGCAGAGTGAGTTTTTTTCTCACTAAATTTATCCTGGTCTAGGATGAGCGACGCGTTGCAAAGCTCTTTGCAAGTAAACCATAATCGACTTCGTAAGTCGCGAGGGAAGGGATTGCTGTACCCTTCTCGCGATAAAAATACCTCAGGCAGGACCCGCAGGAGGGGGTCCAGCCCCCCCCTCCTATGTGACCCCGGTTGGGTCGTCTAGCTAGAAGTGGAGGATAGGGGCCAGAGGGGCAGACGACAGAATCCGATGATTGTTGTTGTTGTTGTTGTTGTCTTCACATTAAACCGTATGTCAGTTGCCAAATGCCAAAATCTAGCAAAAGACTCTCAGCCCGTGGTCACGAAAGCGCTAGAGCCATCTGAGGATCTAAAGAACACGCACACATATAACGAGAAAAGGTATCCAAGAGCCCGAAGAGGTACACCGTATGCGTGCCCAAAAACTGAACTGCACGTCCGTCCCACCGTTCGACTACAGTAGCATCACCCCCTCCCTGTCCCACTCTATACCAAAACGGAAGATTGCCGACTACAGCATACTGCTGTCTGAAGTGCCGTCTGTACAAAAACACCATGGTAGGCATGGAACAAGCAGCTGGCGGGGCACAAAGCTGCTGTCTGAAGTGCTGTCAGAATGTGTCTGCGG